ATCGGAAAATCTAGGAATCGGGATATATTAGAATCTCAGAATCTCGGAATCTCAGAATCTCAGAATCTCAGAATCTCGGGATCTCAGAATCTCAGAATCTCAGAATCGCAGGATCTCAAAATCTCAGATTTTCAGTGTATCAGAATTTCAGAATCTCAGAGTCTCAGAGTCTCAGAATCTTTCAGAATTACAGAATCTCAGATGATGAGAATCAGAAATTTGAAAATTTTGAGTTTTTTAAGTCTCAGAATCTCTGAATCTCAGAATCTCAGAATCTCAGAACCTCGGAATCTCAGAATCCAAGGATGTGAGAATCGGAGAGTCTAAGAATCTTGCAATCTTAGAATCTCAGAATCTCAGAATCTCCGGGTCTCAGAATCTCAGATTTTCAGAAAATCAGATTTCCATATCTCTCTCTCTCTCTTTATCTTACCTTCTCTAATCCCTTCTCTTTTACAGTATGAACACATCTGCTCTCGAAGCCTTCGCTTCCGAAGTCGCCGCTGCCACGAACCCTATAATGATGGTCGAGATGATCCCGATCATCAAGAAATATCTCCCAAGCAAGCACCAAGATCTCTGCAAAATTGTCTGCAACGATGGCTTTATCAACGCAGCCGACACAAGATTGGCTTACTACGGAGGCCTGGGTGCTCTCCTCACGCAGGTAAAGGAGTTCATGAACTTCCCGGGAAGTCTCGAGAAGTTTGAAACTGAGCTGTCCGCTCTTTATCTGGTGAGAAATGGGAAATTGTAGCTTACAATTAGTTTATACTCTCAGATGACGCCCAATATCCATTCAAGTCTCACCAATCAGAAATACATCTATAAATCCCAGCTTCTTGCGATCCTTCAGAAAATCGGTGAGGTTCCGATAATCCAGTTGTTGCCCAGAGAAGACTCCAAGTACTATGTCCTTCATTCGATCATAGCCATCTACCTGAGAACCAAAGAAAGCCAAATGAAGGATCCATTTGAGTTGATGACCTATGACGACGATCAGCTCGCGCACTTGGAAGCTATCATCAGCGTCCAGACTTTGACGTTCCAGGGAGAAGATTTGGATCCGTCGACCAGCTTGGAAAACATCATCGCCAAATTCAAAGCCCTTTTGCCTACGCACCCGAAGGATCAAAAACACAAGCGACTTCAGAGAATCATAGAGGAGTTTCATTCGTCAGGAAAAAACGTTATTGTCTATCAGAACCTGCTGTTTTGGACCACTATCCTTATCACCGAGTTCGACCGTTTTTTGGCTGCTCTTCCAGCTTATCAAGGCCCTACTCTTGTCAGAGTCTTCCATGACGACTTTGCCGGAAAATTCGTTTTGGAAAGGGAACTACTCGGGCTGGGAAATCCTGAAACAGTCGAAATCGAGACATTGAGAACTGTGGACTTCAAGAAGATTCGTGAATGGCAGAAAGAGAACAACCTTCCAGTTTCGCCAATGGGACCCGACCCGTATATGATGGACCAATATGAGGTAGGAAGAACGACATCTAGAAATTTAGAAAAAAAAATACAATTTTTCAGTTTGTCATAATGAGGATCCCAAGAACCTTCTTCCGCTCAATCCCGATCCCAGCCTGGTCCAAAAAGTATTTCCACCACGTGACTGAAGTTTTGATTGAGATACTTAGAGACATCATTTCAATCAGATGTGTCTTCCAGAACCTTCGTATGAAGCGTCTAGAAAAGCTCTTCGTGACAATGAAAGAGACTATGAATCAATTCACGGAGACACACGTAAGTTCGGATCACTTTACGAACTTCTTCAAAACAATCAGCTTTCAGCCAGCAATCCAATTGATCACCGAGTCTGAAGCCACCGGAATCAGAGAGGCGATCGAGCAGTGCCTCTTGAGGTACAAGGTCGTTCCTGGGAATCTGAAGCGGATCAGAGAGATTGAAGGATTCCATCTGAAACATCTCAAGGAGGAGCTCAAGAGATTGGGAGTCGTCTCAACATTTCCGGACATCGTCCAAGTTGCGAATGATTTGTTCCACGGTTACCATGAAGATCAACTCAATGATCGCGCTCTCACCACATTTGATATGTATCAAGCTGTGGAGAAGTGCAGACTTTCTCACATCGTCTGCAAGTCAGAGGTGAGATTTTCAGACAAATTGGACCTGTAGAAGAAGCTTCCTCTTCTGTTGAACCCATTTATCTCGCTTTGTGTGAAAGATACCAAAAGGTGACAAAAAGGACAAAATTTGTATCATATTATCAGAAATATTTTATCAATTGACAACTTTTTGGTGTCTTTCTCAGAAACCGAGGTAATTAATTCTAAAGTGCATGTACATATGGGGCGCGCTTTTTTTAGAGCTGTCGAACTAGTATCCTACGTTGAGCCCATTTATCTCGATTTCTGTCAATGGTATCAAAAAGTGATAAACTGAAAAAAATGTTTTTGGCAACATGATAAAAATGTTTTCAGTTGAGTCTTTTCTGATGTCTTTCTTAGAAACCTTAATAAATTGGGATCAATGAGACCAACTGATTATTGAGGAGATTTTTTCAGACTCGATCCTTCTTCCACAAGTTCAACTCTTGTCAGAAGGTGCATTGCTTGTGTGCAGTCTGCGATCAATCGAAGTGATTTCATATTGCATTCTGTGTTATTTTTTTGTGTAATTCCTTTTTCTGTAGATTTTTCCCAATTAATCGATAAAATGTGAACACTGAAATGTCTGGGATTTCTAAATTATCTAGTTGTAGGATTTCTAGAGTCTCTGGGTAGCCTAAAATGTCCAGTTCAGCAATCTTTGTATTGGCTTTAAAAAATCTGGAACTGCCTGAAAGTCTAGGATGTCTGATATCTGGAATTTTTGAATTCCTGGATAGTCGAAAATGTTTGACACTATTTAGAATGTCTAGATTCTAGAATACATATATATGACGTGTCTCACTTTATTCATTTGACAGAAAACCCAAAATGTCATTCTATTAGTTCTTCGGTTCTTTATCATACTTTGGTGACACTTCAGAATCCGCTCCTGCCGCCTGATGTTCCGGTGGTGCTGATTGAGCTGATACTGATTCAGAATCTTTTGGCGATACTTCAGAATCCGCTGGTCTAGTTTCAGAAGTCGCTGGTCTTGCTTCAGAATCCGCTGGTGTCACTTTCGAACCCATTGAAGCCGCTCCAGAGTCCTTTGGCTTCTTTTCAGAATCAGCTGGTGCTGCTTCAGATTCCTTCGGTGCCGCTTCAGAAGAGACTGGTGTTGCTTCGGAATTCGCTGGTGCCGCTTGAGCTGGTCTAGATTCAGAATACTTTGATGCTGCTCCATAATCGGCTGGTGTCACTTCAGATTCCTTTGGCGCTACTTCAGAAGTCGCTGATGCCGCTTTAGATTCCTTGGGCCCAGCTTTAGCATCCACTGGTTCAGCTGCGGGAACCTCTGATGACATTTCCTCAAACCACGAGTCTTCCAGTTCGTAAAAGATTCGGGAGCTCTGAAAAAAGAAATTTCAGAATTTTTCAAACAAAATTCTCTTCTTACCTTCTCCACTCTCGTAATACAAAAGAACTGAAGAATCTCCACAGCTGAGCACAAGTCGAGACTAGGGAAATGTTTCAACAGTCTCCCCTTGAATACATTTCCTGCCAGCTTGACCATTTCCGGGAACGCCGTGTCCAATTCCAGATATTTAATCTCTTCCACCAATTGCTTTATAGTCCACAATCCCTTATCGATGTGTCGAACTTCTTTCTTTTCAGCAGGTGGAGAGATTTTATTATTTTTGAAATACTCCAGAATCCCGTCTTTGATCTTCTCGATATCCGACTGGAGTACCAAACGATAGCCTTTCTGAAACACGTTTAAGCATGAGCAATCTAAGAAATTAAAGACTCTCACCTGCATTTCCTCCAAAGTCGTTTTAATGAAACTGAAAGCATCCAGGATTTTGTCCCTCCTTTCAATGGATACGTTTTGGAAATATCCCTTGTTGTGGGCCCAGAAAATGAAATATTGAATCGTGGGTTCAGCTGGGAGACAGAATGTGCCATCTACTAATGGAATCCAGACATTCTTTTTGTGAGCTTTCTTGTGCTGGGTAACGATGAGCTGGAATATTTTTTAGAGTACTCTACTTGCACATTGAGATCAATAGTCTCGATTTCTGTCAAAGATATCAAAAAAAAGATCAATTGATAAAATATTGCGATCATATGCTAAACATTTTATCAGTTATTCACTTTTTCATATCCATCAAAACAATCGACATAAATTTGCTGAAAGTTAAAGGGCACCTATTATATATTTCTCTTATAGAACGCTACCCACCTACACATTTGAGCTCAATTATCTCGATGCCTATAAGAGATATCATAAAATGTTCAACTGATAAAATTTTGGTGATAAAATGAGACACATTTTATCAGTTGACATATTTCTGATAGCTTCTGTAGGAACCGAGTTAATAGAGCTCAAAGCGCACCTTTTAGCATATTTTGGATAAATCCTCTACGTAAAATTTGAGCTTAATTACCTCTATTTCTGTGAAAAATATAAAAAGCTTGTTTATTTATAAATTATTAATCACGATCTCATCAATATTTTATCAGTTGACACAATTTTGATATCTTCTGTAGGAACCGAGATAATTGACTTCAACTTTGAGACAGCAAAAACTTCGAGCCGATTGTTCTAGGACCCTCACCTCAACATTCTGACGCTTAAGCGAAAGCACCTCTCGAATATCCAGACAATACATTGGTCCTTTATCCTGGAGCATCTCCTCGAGCTGTACAGTATCCATTGCACACCGTTTCATCTCTCGCAACAGCTCAAATCCAAGAACATAACTGTTGTTGGTCTCCTTGAACAAACGAACGTAAGCAGTTTTTGGACCCTGATCTACAGGATAAGGGGTGAACCACGACATGTTGTTATTGATGAAATTGTTGAATTCGACAGTGATAATATACATCATGTTAATCAAGTAGTCATAAAACTGTTGGTTTTTGTGCACTGGTCGTTCCTCGTGACTAATCATCAGGACTTTGCGGAGGCTTGTGAATTCTGGATCATACTTATTCACTGGCATCATCGTCTTAATCGTATCAAAAACATAGTCAATCGTCTTCTGATGTTTTTGATGTATTTTGTACTTTCTACCCTTATGCGTCGCCAGTTTGAATCTGTCGGTGACGTGCTTTTCAAACACTGCCAATTCATTCGCTTCATAAGGCATAAACTCCAATTTGCCCTCCATCATCTCGTCTTTGGTCCGCATATAAATTGCCATCATTTTCACAATCGGTACGTTATTCTGATTCATTCGGAAGCTATCGTTCATTGTCAGCATTTGCATTTGATTGAGGATTTCGCGTTTGAAGATGTACGACTTTGCTGCTTTCATGCTTTGGTAGATCCTTGGAGGGAGCTGAAAATGTATATGCAGTACGTGTCTTTCAGTTGGTCTTCGGCAATTTCAGGAGCCTGGAGCTCGACTGTCAAGTATCCTGGGAGTTTGAAAACTTTGAAAGGAGTGAAACAGACCTAGAAAAAAAACTTTGCATTCACTGAATGTATTGAAAATTCTATGTATTTTCCGCTTTCTAAAAAAAATCTGTTTATCACGTTTTCAGTTAAAACTGGCCAAAAAGGGGTGTCCATCAGAAATGGGAGAATAGTTGGAAAACTAGGAATTTTCAAACAATTCGGCAAATGCAAAGTTTTCAATCTAGGTTTGTTTTACACTTTCCGAAATTTTCAAAGTGATCGGAAACTTCACAGCAGTGTTCCAGACTTTTAAAAATGGCCGAAAATCAACTGAAACATACGTATTACTGTAGCTCAAGAAATACTCACCATTGGGTATAGAGAAGAAAGTTCGGATTCGAAGAAATCCATACTTCCAGGAAAATTACGAAATCGCTCCACAGAGTTTAGAAGAGCTTCACGACCTCCATAGTATTTGCACTCGGTCCTCAGAGAAGGTTCGTAGTCGGAGCAGTCTACCACATGACGGTCATCCTCGTGTAGAAATGCATGAAAAAATGCAGCTGAACTCGGGTATTTCGGATTCAGAAGCCACGGTTTATCGGTTGGAATAGGAGGTGCAGCAGATGGTTCGGGAGAAGATTCAGTCATCACTGAAACAAATCGCAGTGAAAATTGTTTTTTAAAAGAGAGGACAAGGCTATTGTCGAATTAAAGAAAGTGACACCTGAGAATTTGAAAACTTTTGCTTTTTTTGGTCTACGAAAAAATGCGGCAAAAACGTAATATTTCACAATTTCGGCTAGTTTGAGCTACTTTCGCGTTTGAGTTTAGTTTTTTGCTGAAAAGTGGATTCTAGAGATGCTAGCGATCATTTTCATACCAAGAAATCAACATTTTGTTCAGAAAATTCCACTAAATTCACATAAATAAATTTGTTATCTACAGTATCCGTTTTCGCTCCGCCCCCTCGTAAATCGACACGAGCGCCGTCTCCGAGATTTTCAGGTGTCACTTTTTTTAATCCGACAATATGCTGTGCCACAGCTTTGGATTTAGGAATAGAAAAGTGTGAAAAATGAGCGAGAAATGTTTTCAAAATGAAGGAAATCAAGTCATCTTCTGGGTTTCCCGCATTTCAAAAGTTTTTTTTTTGAATTTTGATCTACCAACAAAAATTCTAATTTCATGCATGTCTGAAAACTTTTCCCTTTCTCTTTCTCTGGGTAGCCTAAAATGTCCAGTTCGGCAATCTTTGGATTGCTAAAAGAATCTGAAACTGCCTTATAGGTCTGGGAAGTCCGAAATCGCTGAAAAATCCTTAACAGCAAACAATGGTTGTAATGTCTAGAATGTCTTGATTATCTGGTATGTCTCACTTTATTTACTTGACAGAAATCACAAAATATCATTAAATTAGTTTTTCGGTTCTTAATCATCCGCTGGTGCCGCTTGAGCTGGTTCTGATTCCTTTGACGCTGCTCCAGAATCAGCTGGTGCCGCTCCAACATCCTTTGGTGACACTTCAGAATCCGCTTTTTCAGCTTCAGAATTCGCAGGTGCCGCTTCAGAATCCGCTGGTGTCACTTTAGAATCCATTGAAGCCGCTTCAGAGTCCTTTGGCTTCTTTTCAGAATCAGCTTCCGTTGGTGTCGCTTCATGAGCCGCTGGTGCCACTTCAGAATCCACTGATTTTGCTTCAGATTCCTTTGGTGTCGCTTCAGATTTCTTTGGTGCTGCTTCAGATGCCGCTTTTGAATCCTTAGGCTCAGCTTTAAAATCTGCTAGTCCAGGAACCTCTGATGACATTTCCTCAAACCACGAGTCCTCCAGTTCGTAAAAGGTTCGGGTGTTCTGAAAAATCAAAACTTCTGAATTTTTCCACAACATTCCCCCTTGCCTCGTCCACTCTTGTAATACAAAAGAACTGACAAATCTCCACAGCTGAGCACAGATCGAGTGTACGGAAATGTTCCAACTTTTCAAACTTGAATACGTTTTCTGCAAACTTCACCATATCCGGGAATGGCTCGTCCAATTTGAGATGTTTGATCTCCTCCGCCAAATTATTTTCAGTCCACAATCCCTCATCAATTTGTCGAACTTCAATCTTTTCAGCAGGTGGAGAGATTTTATTATTTTTGAAATACTCCAGAATCCCGTCTTTGATCTTTTCGACATCCGACTGGAGTACCAAACGATAGCCTTTCTGAAACATATTCAAACATGAGCAGTGAGGGAAAAAAAGTCCAAGAATCTCACCTCCAAATCCTCCAAAGTCGTTTTAATGAAACTGAAAGCTCCAAGAATTTTGTCCCGTTTTTCAGTTGATGCGTTTTGGAAATATTTCGCATTGTGGATCCGGTAAACGAAAAATTGAATCATGTCTTCAGCTTGGAGACAGAATGTGCCATCTACCAATGGAATCCAGATAGGCGTTTTGAAAGCTTTCAGATTCTTGCTGACAACGAGCTGGAAGTATTTTTACCGTAAAACCTGTGATAAGAGAACCCAGTTCATGTGAATCAATTTTATTTCGGTTACTGTCGAAGACATCAAAAAGTGATCATCTGATAAACTATTTCTGATAATATCGTAAACATTTTATCAGTTGATCAATTTTGATATCTCTCAGAGGTACTGGGATAATTTTGCTAAAGATTAAAGTGCTATTTGGGCTTAAATATCTTGGTTCCTTCAAAAGATATCAAGAAACTCCCAACTGATAAAATATTTATGATAAAATCACCAACATTTTATCAGCGGATACAATTTTGAAATCACTCATAGAAATATAGATAATTAAGCTCAAAGATCACGTACAGGACTACGGTGTACCAAAATGAAGCTCTACTTTTGAGCACCATTATCTTGGCTCCTTTGAAAGATTTCAAGAAACTCCCAACTGATGAAATATTCATCATAGTATCACCAACATTTTATCAGTTAAAAAATTTTTTCATATCTTTCAAAGGAACCGAGATTATTGAGCTCGTCTGGCGTTCAATAAGTTTTTCTCACCTCCAAGTTTTGAAGCTTGAGCGAAAGCACGATCCGGATATCAAGACAATACATTGGTCTTTTATCCTGGAGAATCTCCTCGAGCTGTACAGTATCCATTTCACACCGTTTCATCTCTCTCAACAGCTCAAATCCAAGAACATAACTGTTTTTTTCCTCCTTGAACAAACGAACGAAAGCAGTTTTTGGACCCTGAACTACAGGATAAGGAGTGAACCACGACTTGTTGTTATTGATAAAATTGTTGAATTCGACAGTGATAATATACATCATGTTAATCAAGTAGTCATAAAACGTATGGTTATTGTGCACTGGTCGTTCCTCGTGACTAATTATCAGGACTTTGCGGAGGCTTGTAAATTCTGGATCATATTTATTGACTGGCATCATCGCTTTGATTGTCTCGAAAACATATTCAATCGTCTTCTGCTTCTTCTGCGTTATTTTAAACTTTCTACCCGTATGCCTCGCCAGTCTGAATCTATCGGTGACGTGCTTTTGAAACACCGCCAGCTTGTCTTCATCATAGGGCACAAATTCCAAATTGCCCTCCATCATCTCGTCTTTGGTCCGCATATAAATCGCCATCATTCTCAAAATCGGGACGTTATCCTGAGTCATTCGGAAGTTTGCGTTCATTGTCAGCATTTGCATTTGATTGAGGATTTCGCGTTTGAAGATGTACGACTTTGCTGCTTTCATGCTTTGGTAGATCCTTGGATTGAGCTAAAATTGTATTTAACTTTTGGAAGGTTTCTACAGTATCGGTCAATAAGATGTATTACCCATTTTTTAGTTGATTTACCTACATTTTCAGAAGTCTGGAGCTCGACGGTCAAGTTTCCAATCACTTTGAAACATTCGGAGGGTATAAAACAAACTTAGATTGAAAACTTAGTATTTGCAGAATTTTTCGAAAATTCCTACTTTTCCAGCTATTTGCCGATTTCTGAATGACACCTGTTTTTTTAAAACAGAAAAATAGGGGTGTCTTTCAGAAATCGGCAAATCGCTGAAAACCTAGAAATTTTCAAAAAAATTCTCGTAAAGTTTCCAATTTAGGTCTGTTTTACACCCTCCAAAATGTTCAAAAAAGCTCGAAACTTGACAGCCGAGCGCCAGACTTTTGAAAATTTCGGAACTCTATAAAAAAAGATTTTTGTATACCGGAAAAACTGTAATATAGCGCCAGGGATGCTTCAAAAAATGTCACGAAATTTTCAGATTCCACTGCTACTCTTTGAATAAAGCAAGAACATTTTTTCTGCTACCTTCAAGCCTCTCATAAGGGTGCCGTTGTACTAGAGGGAGCGTTCTACTACAGGTTACGTTATATTACAATTTTCAGAGTATGACCAGATGCTCACCATTGGAAATGGAGAACAAAGTTCTGACTCGAAGAAATCCATACTTCCAGGAAAGTTTGTTCCACGATGTTTAGAAGAGCTTGACGACCTCCATAGTACTCGCATTCGGACCTCACAGACGGGTCGTTGTCGGTTCCGCCGACCATATAATACTCATCCTCGGGTAGATAGGCATAGAAAAAAGCAGATGGACCAGGATATTTGGGTTTCAGAAGCCACGGTTTATTGGTTGGAATAGCAGGCGCAGCAGAAGGTTCGGAAGAAGATTCAGCCATTACTGAAACAATGAAAACATATTTTCGAAAAGGGAACAAGGCTATGCTGTGCAGCGGCCGGCCGGGCGGTCGGTATTTAGAGCCTTGGATTTAAGAAAAGAAAAATGTGAAAAAATGAGCGAGAAATGATTTGAAAATGAAGGAAAAAAAGACATCATCTGGTTTTTCCGCATTTCAAAAGTTTTTTTTTTGAATTTTGATCTACCAACAAAAATTCTAATTTCATGCATGTCTGAAAACTTTTCCCTTTCTCTTTCTCTGGGTAGCCTTTTTTTCATCAAAAGCCAGTTTTCTATTTTTTAATTTTCAATTTGGTATAATTCAAATATAGCCCCCCAACCTCAATATGACCCCCCACCTTATAAACAACTATAGTAGAGCTTCCCACCAGTACAAACATGGGTGGGGGGCTCTACTGAGGTGTGGGGGGGGGGGGGGGGCTAAAGTTGAATTGGTTGATTAAAGCATGACCCCCCCCCCACCAGTACTAAGTGGGGGCCTATACTTGAAGAGCCTGGTATTCTTAACATATGGCCCCCACCCCTCCCTGCCGTCTTCAATTAAAGCCCCCAACCATTCCAAATTAGCCCCCCCCCCCAAAAAGAGAACATTATCCTAGCCCCACACTTTATTCAAATATGACCCCCACCTATTAAAAAATAGCCCCCACCCATTCAATTTTAGACCCCCACCAATTCAATTTTAGACCCCCACCAATTCAAAAATAGGTCCCCACCATTTTTTGGCCTAAGCCTGAATTTTAGAATGTTTTAATTTTGAAAGTTCTGATAAGATATACATAGCTGAAAAGTATTTCTCAGAAAAAGTTCCCAAGAAACAAGGAAAAATGGTGAAAAATGACACAAATTCCGAAAAAAATTAAAGAAAAATTTTAAAAAAGCTCAAAATTTGCATCATGACGGCTACGGTACCCTTCACACACCACAAACTACGCAAAAGTGGGGGGGGCTTATTTTGAATTGGAATGGACCATTTAAAAGTGGGGGTCTATATTTAAATTGGTGGAGGGCTTTTTTTGAACTGCTGCAAGTGTCTAGATTGTTGGAGGTGGGGGCTCTACTATGGCTCATTTTGGGGGCTATACTTGAATTGGGGTGGGGACTATATTTGAATTCAGCCTTCAATTTTTTTTCAAAATTGTATTTTTCCTTCTTACAGAGAATTTTGTAATTTTCAGAAATTTTCTTTTTTTTCTTTTTTTTCCGATTTTTCGAAAAATTCCCTAATTCTAAAAATTTGAATTTTCGTAAGTCTAGGATGCAATTTTGTTTCGAGATTTTTGACATTCTGAGATTCTGAGATTCTGAGATTCCTAATTTTTTAGGTTCCTCTTTTTCAATTTTTTTGGTCGATTTCCGATCATTTTCTAGTTTTCAGTAATTTAAAAATATTTTTTCGCCTGTTTTTGAAACTTCACTCTATCTGAAACTATGAATTTCAAAATTTGTGTTATTTTGAAATGATCTTAAAATCTCAGATTCTAATATTCCAGGATTCAGAGATTCTGAGATTCTAATATTCCGAGATTCTAATATTCCCGGATTCTAATATTCTGAGATTCTGAAATTCTGAAATTCTATGGTTCTGAGATTCCGGGATTCTAATATTCCGAGATTCTAATATTCCGGGATTCTGAGATTCTAATATTCCGGGATTCTAATATTCCGGGATTCTAATATTCTGAGATTCTGAAATTCTGAAATTCTGAAATTCTATGGTTCTGAGATTCCGGGGTTCTAATATTCCGGGATTCTGAGATTATAATATTCCGGGATTCTAACATTCCGGGATTCTAATATTCCGGGATTCTGAGATTATAATATTCCGGGATTCTAACATTCCGGGATTCTAATATTCCGGGATTCTGAGATTCTGAGATTCTAATGGTCCGGAATTCTAATATTCCGGGATTCTGAGGTTCTTCTGAGATTCTGAGATTCTATGATTCTGAAATTTTCAGAATCTTTTGAAAAAAATGTATTATATCTTTTTTATAATTTCGTAATTCTTAATTTTTTTTGCGAATTTTTCACAAAATTCTATAGAAAACCTTCTTCATTATAATCTTTATTTACTTGACAAGAACCAAAAATATATAAGAAATACATCAAAAATCAATCAATCCGTCGGCGAGTCATCACTCAGGGTGATCAATCCCTCAAACCACTCCTCTTTGAAAATGATAAAGTGATGAGCAATCTAAAATTCCAATTTAATTTCTCATGAACATTCTTCAAATCTCACCCCAAGTCGTCGAATGATACAGAAGGACTGCAACATTTCGACAGCTGTAAACATGTCAACATCGCGAATATGGTTCAATTCTTTGATTTTGAGAACGATGTTGCCAATTTTCAAAATTTCCGGAAACGTTCTGCCCAAATCGAGATACTTCAACTCTTCCACCAACTGCTTTTCCGTCCACAGGCCTGGATGAATCTGTCGAACTTCCCTCTTTTGTGCAGGTGGGACGATTCCAGCGTTTTTGAGATTTTCCAGAATCTCTGTTCTCGTTTTATTGAATTCCGCTTCAGAGATTAGGCGGTAGTTGAACTGGAAAGAACAATAATTTTGAAGGATTCGAAAATTTAAAAAATTCAAAATCCAACTCACCGGGATGTAGTCTACAACTGTCTTCAGAGGTTTCAACGCTTCAAGGATCTTGTCTCTGGTCTCTTCCGTGGCGTCTTGGAAATATCTTTTGGTATGGATCCAGTTGACAAAATACTGAACTGTGTCAAGACGTTGGAGACAGAACGTTCCATCATAGCTTGGAAACCATACCGGCGTTTTGTGAGATTTTACAATGTCGACGACAATGCGCTGAAATTGAAAAAGTGGGCTTCTCAGGAATGGATTGAAATAAAGATGTCTCAAAAAGTACCCAAGGATCTATCCCATAAGAGGGGTCCCATTTCGGGTTCCTTGGTCGTATGATCGGACCATCAGTTTCCAAGAGGTGCCCCCGTTCAATCGATTAAGCAAGCGGTCTCAACAAGACGACCGTAATCCCATCATTTAAGGAGTGGGACCAAAGCAAGATTGATGGAACAGTAGTCGGAGAAAAGAATCCCCTTATAGGACCAACGATCCATAAAGGTACTGTAGATAGACACTCAAAACAGGTTGTCGGGTTTCATTCCTTACCTCCACATTCTTGAGTTCCAGCTGGAGCACATTTCGAATATCAAGACAAAACAATGGTCTATGACCCTGAAGCATCTCCTCAAGCTGAACAGTATTCATTCCACACCGTTGCATTTCTTTCAATAGCTCAAACCCAAGAACATAGTTGTTTTTATTCTCCTTGAACACACGAACATAAGCAGTTATTGGATTCCGGTCAACAGGATACGGAAGAAACCACGACTTGTTGGCTTTGATGAACTTGTCAAATTCTTCAATGATGACATACATCATGTTAAGAATGAACTCATAGAATGCATGGTTGTTTTCCACTGGTTTCAGCTCGTGAAGCCTCATCAAAAGTTTGCGAAGAGATGTGAACTCTGGATCGTATCTGTTCACTGGCAACATCGCTTTCAATGTGTCGAACACAAATTTCATCGTCTTCTGATTCTTCTGTTTCATCTTGTACTTTTTATTCTGATGCGTCGCATATTGGAATTTTCTGCTGAGTTCCTTACCAAGCTTCACCCAGTTCTCAAATTCAAGAGGAGCGAATTCAACTTTTCCCTCCATCATCTCCTCCTTGGTCCGCGAATAAATCGCCATAATCTGTATGAGCGGCTTGTTATCTTGATCTGCTCTCAAGTTTGGAATCTTGGTCAACATTTGCATTTGAGGAAACAGGTCTCGTTTGTAGATGTACGACTTTTTGCTCATGCTTTGGAAGTGCCTTGGAGAAATCTGCAAATTGTTTTTTATGGTTCGAAATCATGCGCCGACCGCAGAAAACTCACCACTGGATACGGCGTCGAAAGTTCAGCTTGAAATTTGTCCAGATTTCCGGGAAAGTTACGGTATTCCTCGACGTTGACAAGAAGAGTCCCATGACCTCCGTAGTAATCCATTTGGTAGTCTTCGAGTTGCAGCCATGGCTCGCCGTTCCTCATGAAAATGTAACCATGATGATCCTCGTGTATGAAGGCGTAGTAGAAGACGCCGGCACCCGGGTATTTGGGATTCAGAAGCCATGGGCGATCGGTTGGGATAGGTGGGGCGGCAGGAGGTTTGTGCATTTCTGAAAAAAGCATTTTCTACAATTTTTTGAAAAAACATGCTAAAAAAGCCGGAAAAAAAGGCAGAAGAATGTACAAAAACGTCGTCGAAAAATGAGTAAAAATGGGAAAAAACTGAACAAAACAAAAAGTTGAAAATAAATCCCGCAATCAAAAAAAATTTGATCTACCAAATTTTTTTTTCGAAATTTTTGAAATTTTTTGTCCGCATGTCTGATAAATTTTTGCTGAAATTAGTCAGACATCTGTCACTTTTTTCAGAATAGAGCCGTGCACCAAAATTGCAAAAAGGGGCGGGGTTTATTGAAAACCTTTTTTTCTAATTTTTCCATAGAAAGCCACCAAAGCTGAAAACTTTCAGCTCGAATATCTCGTGCTCTGTGAACGATATCAACATTTTGTCAACTGATAAGATATAGGTGATTTTATGTGATTATAATTGCGCTCAAAGTGGTACGGTATTTTTTCTCCAAAAACGTCAAAAATTTAAAATTTAAATACAGCCACAAATACCTTCATTTACTTGACAAACAATTAATCAAATTCAAAAAATATGACAAAAATACAAAACCATTTATCACCTCAAAAAAGTTCATAATAATTATTTTTCGAAGATTCTCAAAAATTCGAAATTGAATGAATATTATTATCGAACAGTACAGAAAAGAGGGGTTCTCCTTCCCTCGGCAAAATGCTTATCACAATATCAGTAACATCTTGTCAGTTGAAAATTTTTTGATACCTCTCACAGAAAAATCATAGTAAAAGTCGGTACAACCAAAAAAAGTTTCCCGTCATCGAAATTTTTTTCGAAACTTCAATTCTTTCGAAACTTGATCGACTTCGTTTGCATGTCTGAAAAAATATTCAAAATCGAAAACTCGAAATTTTTGATGAGAAATTCTGAAATTTGGAAAAAGTTGAATTTTTGAGAAAAGGAGGGAAAACGAAATGCAAAACTTTTTCCTGAAATAAATACAGTTACAAGCAAAAAGAAACTCTTTAAAATGACTATTTTCACGATTCCGCATTCAACAGCATCTAGTCCATATCCAGCAGCTCCGATTCCAGCTCCACCAGCTCCGATTCCACCTCCACCAGCTCTGATTCTACCTCCACCAGCTCCATCTGATTCCACCTCCACCAGCTCCGATTCCTCCTGAAAATGACTATTTTTTTTGCCTATTTTCACAAAAAGCACAAAACGTCAAAAAAGGAAAATCCTCGGCGGGGGTCGAACCAAAAACCCTCGGCTCAATAGGCGGCAGTGTATACCACTAAACCATCCGTGCACATTAGACTACAAGGATAGAATACAATTTTGACATGGGACACGCGTGAAAAATTCAAAAACTTAAATTATTTTGGGAAATTTAGCGAAAGAAAGTTTCACGCTTTGGAGAAAATTATTTTAAAAAGTGAAAAAATTGAGCACAGAGATAAGAATCACCCCGGGTTTTTTTTGTATATAAGGGAAGAAAGAAACAGTGAGAATCAGTCAGTTTCCGAATGGGAACTGACATCCAGCTGGAGCTGGAAACCGGGGTCCTGGAAATGGAACTGGAGCCATTCGATTTGGAGATCATGATCCTGAAGCTGGAATCGGAGCACTTGGAACTGGAGCTGTTGAGACCGGACCTGGAGCTGGTGGAGGTGAAATTGGAGCTGGTGGAGGTGGAATCAGAGCTGGTGGAGGTGGAATCAGAGCTGGTGATGGTGGAATCGGAGCTGCTGGCGATAGAATCGGAGCTGGTGGAGGTGGAATCGGTGCTGGTGGAGGTGAAATCGGAACTAGTGGAGGTGAAATCGGGGCTGGTGGAGGTGGAATCGGAGCTGCTGAATATGGAATAGGTGCTGTTGAAGGCGGAATCGTATTCGGTGGAGGTGGAGTCGGAGCTGGCGGAAGTGGAATCGGAGCTGGTGGAGGTGAAATCGGAGCTGGTAGAAGTGGAATCGGAGCTGCTGGCGATAGAATCGGAGCTGGTGGAGCTGGAATCGGAGCTGCTAGATATGGAATAGATGCTGTTGAAGGCGGAATCGTATTCGGTGGAGGTGGAGTCGGAGCTGGCGGAAGTGGAATCGGAGCTGGTGGAGGTGAAATCGGAGCTGGTAGAAGTGGAATCGGAGCTGCTGGCGATAGAATCGGAGCTGGTGGAGGTGGAATCGGTGCTGGTGGAGGTGAAATCGGAACTAGTGGAGGTGAAATCGGGGCTGGTGGAGGTGGAATCGGAGCTGGTGGAGGTGGAATCAGAGCTGGTGATGGTGGAATCGGAGCTGCTGGCGATAGAATCGGAGCTGGTGGAGGTGGAATCGGTGCTGGTGGAGGTGAAATCGGAGCTGCTGAATATGGAATAGGCGCTGCTGAAGGCGGAATCGTATTCGGTGGAGGAGGAATCGTATTCGGTGGAGGTGGAGTCGGAGCTGGCGGAAGTGGAATCGGAGCTGGTGGAGGTGAAATCGGAGCTGGTAGAAGTGGAATCGGAGCTGGAGGAGGTGGAATCAGAGCTGGTGAGGGTGGAATCGGAGCTGCTGGCGATAGAATCGGAGCTG